TATATATATAAGTGCATTGTTTCATGTTGTAGTAGTAAGTATCCTCAGAGCAACGTTTTTCTATGATTTATCAAGGATAAGATAACAATAATTACGAATTTCACTTTATAATTATAATGACTACTAATCATAAACAGAACTGTTCGTAAGATGACTTTTTATGCCACACTTTTTTGTTCTTTTTTTTTTATTAGAAGAGACTTTAAAAGTACATCTAATTGACCGATTTACTTTTTATTGGATGTAATGCGATGTGAGACATATCTAATAAAGTATAAGAAGATCAATCAGTCAGCATAACAAGCGCGGCAGCGCAATCGCGAATCCAGATAATAACACAGATTTCACTGTGACAGGCCATAGAGTTTATCTGCTCGCATAATGAGCTTTTCGCAAGCGATGGCAGAACCGTTTCACCACTTTGACATTTGCATAACATTATCGAGCGTGCCAAGAGACAAGAAAGTCTTCGGCGGTACTTTCGTTCAGTTCACCTCTGACCGCTAATTTTCGTCTGTCGTACTACAAAATTAATGATAATGTACGGACCAGCTTGCGGATTAAAAGATCTCGAGTCACACTTGCACTTGAATGTTATAATAAATGCGAAATTTCATCGAATGTTTTCGCTCTTCTTATTATGTTTCTGGACCGTTACGTTGCACAACTTGTTTGTCGTATGGGGAAAGGATAATAACCATCGGCGCCGTCTCGTCTAAAGATGACTTTTGTTTTTTCCGTATCTTCGCACTCTTTGCCCTTGCCTTACATCTTTATGACTTTACAAACGATCGGTAGGAGCAAACAGTTTGGGTGAAAAGATTATTTAAATTGCCCATTATAATATAACTCGGGACGTTGGCCCGAGTTCTGAACAAGTGTGTGATAAATAATTGTGTAGTTATCAGCGGAGACGGAAATGTTTGTGCCAGTCGACGTCGAAAAAGATTTGACGAAATGTAAAAAGGTACGTCTGAAATATGAGCCGGTATTCATAGTTCATTTTTCAAGATCCTTCTCAAGCGATTCACGGCTCTGTAAGAGACTGATACGGTATTTATAGTCCGATCTTATATTTAAGACCGTCTAAAGTACAGTCTAAGTTGTCATGAACTAATCAGAGAACCGTGTATTAGCATCTTAAAACATTACTTAAGACGGTCTTAAAATAAGAAATGATTACGGAAATGATTACCACCGTTTGACTCGTTTGACATCTTTAGTTCTAGCTTAAGAACATCTCGAAACTGAAGTAATCTACGGATTCCGCTTATAATCATTATAACATTTGATACGCTAATAACTTTAAAATCTGTGCTTCAGTACTTACTGTAATGTCCGTGTCACATTATACATTGGAGATAAAGAACTGCGAATTGAGGATTAGAATTCAGCCAATCAGCACAAAACGGATTAAAATTAAAATTGTCTGACTGGTTAAATTCTGATCTTCAATTCACAATCTTCAATGCGCAGTATGACACAGGCATGAAGCCGAGCAATATGTATGATTTTTTTATTAATGTTCCTAGTCATCTAAATGCATAAATACTGATATAAATTACAATTTTGTAATATTCTTACATGCGTAAAAATTACAATGACATCTTTCCCTTACACATTAATAATATTTGTAAACAATATATAATATTTTTTTGTACATTAATTCAATAACATTAAGAAGTCATTCAAGAATAAAGACTTAAGTTGACGTCTTTCCCCAAGTTACTTTGTATGCACACAAAATAAACCGAATATTGCCGTAGTCCAAACTTTAACTTCACAGAACGTAAAAGTGAAAGGAAATATCTAACAATATCATAAGCAATCGAAATATCAGAAGCAATCGTCAGGTAACAAAATTACGTAGGTATCGCATATGAATTGTGTCATTGGCGTGGATCGCTCCCCTTTTATATAAGTGGCAAACCTGTCATCGAGACTGTTTTCTTGTGCAACGTCCTGCATGATGTATTGCAGGGTACGCTTATTATTCGCGTATCGTACGGCCAAATACTCCATTTCTCTTCTGAAAATTCGCAAAGTCACCAAATGTCGGGAAGCAACATCGTATTTTGCATCCCGGCCTTGGCCTCGATTTACGATAAAACGATCCCTAATGACTTAGGCCGACGCGAAATCCGATTATTTTACAGCTGTCGAAATAATCGATCTCGCGACTGCATCGCACATGCCGCATCAGTTTTTCACAGCCGACTTTAGAGCAGCTCGGAGCAAAACTGCAACGGACAGGTCGCGCACGAGTCAGATATTTAAGAGAATTCCGTCGTGCCGAGCAGGGCTGCAAGTCGCCGCGAGTGTTTCCAATGTGAACATCAACTATACTTATACAGAATGTCCCAGAACCCACCTTATCGTTTCTTATAATTCTTTGATCAATTTGGAAACCTTTTCTTGACAAAAATATCGAGAAGCCAATATTCCCTGAGTTATGATCGACTATAAATAAAGAACTCTTTGGAAGTTAAATTACGTGCGAGCACATGGCGAAAGATTATCCTCCATTGAATTTTCAAATGGACTTGACTTGAACAGATTTACGATATTTGAGAATAATAAGACTTAGTTACAAAGATATTTGACTATTCTACTTCCTAGAGACAAGAAGCTTGCAATAAATTTCAAATTTTCGACGATGATATATTTGCGAATTAAGAGAGACGATTATAATTCGTAATTATTTAGCAATAAAATTTTCATAACATTCGATAAGTATTTAATCATTAAGAGACAAATTTTTACAGATAGTAATAATTGTCATTCACGTGAAGACATTTGCTAATACGTGCGAAAAATCGTGGTAATTCGTGAATATATTCTTCTCAGCATCGCTGACTCCGGAATGTGTGAAAAGCGGGTCGCCGCGCCGCACACAAGGCGGGGAAATACAATTTTTCTTTCTCGCAATTTACGATAAATCGTGAGGTGCCTGCTGCGCCGGACAATGTCGGCGCTTTTCTCGGACGACGACGTCTCGCGCACTTTAAAATCAATCGAAAGCATCGAGGAAAGTACCTCGCGGCTCGCACTGATCCGCATCGATTTTTCACTTTATCCAAACTTTCCTCTCGCCTCAGAGTTCAAGGGGACGCTCTCTCCGTTCATAGCAGCGAGCGTTCGGATCAAGGAGGTATTATCCGTCGCGACTGATTACACTTTATCCCGAAATGGCGGTCGTATCCAAGGACGATAACTCGGATCATGCCGCTTGAAAATGAAATAAACGGACCAAAAGACGTGAGAGCTACTTATTCTATATATACATATATTTATATATAGAGATATATATATATATATATATCCCACTCTAAAATCTCATACTTGACGAAGACCTGATGATTCGATAAATTGTTATTGTAGGAACACACACACACACACACACACACACACACACACACACACATAATCAACAATATCATTTGAATTAATCGTTCCATCGAGAGTAAAATTGGATTCTTTGTCTATTAATTCCATCGAGAATGAGATATAGAAAAATGAAAGATTATTGAACATATTTGTTTTCCACATAAGGAAATCTTCTATTATTCTTGTCAAAATTGTTTAGATAAGATTCTAAAGCGAGGAAAGTATTTTTGTATAATTTTAGTTCTTCAAATTTTAGTTCTTTCTTAAGAAAGACAAATAATATTTTAATAATACACGAATAAATAATATTTCTATTATAATATCTCATTGTATGCATAATATAATCTATATTATATCGACTTTCTATCTGACATTTCAATTTCCGGAAGTTGTACCGACGTGAGTTGTGTAAACTCGTAAAAAAAAAAGAAATAAAATTGAGAAATGCATGTTTCAATTACTGATCATCTTAAACAACAACTTCAACGAGTATAAATGGACTCTGCTCTGTAGATACTTGAAAGTTATACGACGTTCTAGTTGGTTTGAAATCTGAAATTTTGCATCAACGATCAAGCATCATTCCAGTTTTGTCTAGATTCCAGTTCTCGATTTCGATCTGGTTTCCGCGTCTAACGTTTAGGGATATTCAGGAAGACGTGAGCGTAGCGGATAAGAAACTACTAAAGATCATTGGACCATGATAGTAGACCACGATGCTGGACCGTCGCGCGTCACGCTCGAAGGATCATCGGCGAA